AGAGAGAGAGAGAGAGAGAGAGAGAGAGAGAGAGAGAGTACCAACAAGAACAAGAACTCACTTCTTATGGTCAGTTTTATGGAGCACAAGATATAAAGCTCCAAAAGCACCCCTTCCAATATTTTCTATTACTTCATAATCCTTCATCTTGGACTCAAAACCAAAACTTTCTGCGTCCATCGAGCGCTAAAACCCCAAAATCTTCAGATGGGTTAGCTTCTATTTAGCTAAAGTTTCAATCTTTCGACAAAAATAAAGAACCCACTTGAATTTTATACTCACCTCTCTTCAATTGAGCTGAAAAAAACTTTAATACCAAGGAAAAAGCAAATCTTGGGGCGTTGCAAGAGCCGGCGTTAACAACAAGATTTCAATAAAGTCTGGATTTTTTTTCATCAAACTTATTTTAAGTAACACTGCGACTTTCAGAAACGCCTCCAAAATTGAAGCTGTAAAGTGAGATGGGCGTGTTTAAGGGAGAAATCAAGTAAAGAAAGGGACACAATTATACACTAATTGAGAATAATGGCAAAGTTGGGCTTCAAAAGAGCTGATTTGCTATGTGGAGAAATCTAATCTAACTGTTCGGGCACATAAATAAATACCCAAGTAAAGAAATAACACGACTTTTTGCATGTAAGAAGAAAAATGAAAATTTCGTTATATTTGAGTATTTATTGATATTATTGATATCAATAATGAATAATTAAAAGGTATATTTTCGTAAGGGAGAGCTTTGCCGCCCTTGTGGTCCTACCCAATTCGATTCCGAATTAGTCGGTTCCCCTGTGGATCCGGAAACCGGAAGATCCCTGTACAAAAAAAAGAAGTATATTTTCGTTTTGGAATTTTTAAAGATTTATTAAAACTCTATAAATTTTGGTGTATTTATATTTTTTTTAAAAAAATATATATAAGACTTTTAAAAGTTTCGATATATAAATTTAAGATTTTAAAAAGTTTTGAAAAATCATATGTTATTTAACTTATTTGATAATATGATCTGTTGATCTTGAGATTCAAAAAAAAAGAAAAATCATATTATCAAGTATCAATTCAAATTTCACCTCTAGAAATTGATGTTACACAAATTTAACGATTGGGAATCATAGTTTTTCAATAATCTATACTTATATTAAAAGCCATACTATTTACCAAAAATAGTAGCAAAAAAAGTCAACTCACATTTAATGCATACTTTATTTAAAAAATTTTTACTATATGCATTAATTGCTTGCATATATATATTTCCTATTCAAATATGATCAAAAAGATTCTTTCGTTAAATAATTTTATGAACTTCTGCAATGATTTTACTGATATATATTATAATTCATATTTGCCGATAGTATTTTTTTATTTTTATTTGATTATATAGAAAACAATTTTTTTTTAAATTAATATTTTATTTATCATTTAAGAGATAATGATCACATCATCATTAAATGATATTACTGATGGCTAGATAATAAATTAAAATACATTAATTATTCTTTAAAATTTTGGCATGTTATTTATTTGTATCTATACTTATTATATAAGGTATCCTATTTACCAAATTTAGTAGATTGAAAAGTCAATGTAATTAATGCATTGTTATTTCTATCCAGAAATTTATTTAATTATTTTATTTATTTATCTTATATCCCATAAAATCAGTTTAAGAAAAAAATTCCATAACATATGACAAGTAAAAAAAAAGACGTAAAATCTTACTAAAATACAAAGACTTTATTTATTTGTCTTATTCCATATTAACATTGATTTTGTCAAAATAAATCCCATAAAATCAGTGAAGTCAAAATTTGTATCTATCTAAAAAAAAGGCAGATTCAAAATTCATTATCTAATTCCTTCTTTTTCTTATCTAATTCATTCTTTTCCTTATCTAATACCTTTTTATTATCTAATTGTATGAAAATCTGTTCTGATTTTGTTCAATCCTCTAATTGTATTTGTATTATATTCCACAAAATCGGTTTAACAAAAAAAACACCATAACATCCGATAAGTAAAAAAATAAAGTACGTAAAATCTTTACTAAAATTAAAAGGCTTTATTTATAATCTAATATATTAATTTAATTGTATGGAAATCTGTTCTGATTTTATGGTACGTACTACAAATTGTGCACCTGTGTTTAGGAGCTACTTAACGGGCAAGCTCTGTGAAAATGACTCATTTAGTGCTTCTGTCTCGTGCATACGGTATGTATTTTTATTACACGTACTAGAAAATTGTGCACCCCGTGTATCTCACGGGCTCTGTACTAATAAATGACCTTAAAATTGTGCACCCCGTGCATCACCCGTGTTCACATTTTGGCCTATTACAGGTCACGTACTATATATATCCCATACATTTTTTTATTCATTTATATAATTATAAGAATGAATAAATGACCTTAAAATTGTACACCCGTGCATTGCACGGGCTCTGTACTAGTAAATCTAATATACCATACTGTATAAAACAACATTAAATGATTGATTTGAAGCCTTTTTTTTTTCCATATATACGTGCATTTCTTAAAATAACATTGTTCTTTAAGAAATGATACAAAAAAAAAATAGAAATTTAAATATTGCATTTGATATAAAATATATATTTCTAATCAAATATATAATACTGGGTCAAACCTCCTAACAATTAAGTTATCCCACACGTCTAACCATAATCAAAATGGATTATCCATTCACACTACTATTGAATTGTCTCACACCATAACTTAACCATCTAAAAAAAGACAAAAGAAAAAACCCAAAAAAGCTGAAATTTTTGTGACATTGACTAATCAAATTAGATATATTTACATCTATTATAGTTGACTAATGACACAAATATTAATTGAAATTTTAATATAGAAAAGAAAAAATGTAGAGATGTTTGTTTGTTGAAATTAATGTATATTGAATCCGTACATTATTATAAATTTCGAAATTGATGATACTTGGACTTTTAGCATTATTGTTACTATCAAAATTACACAAGTTGTTATGTGAAGTGACTTAATATTTAGACGAATCGACGAATTATACTTTTTTTTTAAAAATAAATGTACATTTATATTAAGTTAATATTTTCGTTTATTTTGTTTTGTCAGGTATAAGTAACATCTTCATTTGAAAATATCCATTAGTCCTCCAATTAAAGTAATAATAATAATAGAAAAAAATAGTAGATGGACCACATGGAAAAATAAAATTGGGCGGGTATAATTTAATTTAAATTCTTGGTTCATATTGAATTAGTCAAAAAAGTTCAAATTGGACTAATGATACCTTTCGGTTGCCACAAAGGCTCTAAAGGGACCATTTACAAGGGGTCCCGTGACGTGATTT